AAAGAAAAGCAAAGGAGTGCGGGCAGAACGAGCGGCGGGAGGGAGGAGAGAGAGAGAGAGAGAGAGAGAGAAAAAAAGAGAGAGAGAGAGAGAGAGAGAGAGAGAGAGAGAGAGATGCATCTACTGGTTGAGCGGGAGGAAGGTGAGATACACTAGATTAAGGTTAGTCAAACGCTGTGGCTACAGTAAAGGTTCAGCCTTGGAACGATCCATCGGGAGAATGAGAGAAGAAAAAAAATAGAAACTGTTTTGGAAGTCTAGTTACAGTATTAATAGGCAGCGTAAATACTACTGCTAATAAATTAATGCTATTTAATAATATATTAAATTAATATCTTAATTAGATTGTGATTTTTGCATTACAGTAATGCAATAATAAATATACTTTCACATTAAATAAATGCATTTATATAATTTAATTAATAATTTATTATAGTCTATATAGTCTATTTACAACATTAATAAGCAGTGTAAATAATACAACTATGATATATAAATACTTTATCATTTAAATAATAAATATTATTTATTTAAATAAGTAAATTAATGTAATTTAATAATATATTAAATTAATAAGATTGTGATTTTTGTATTACAGTAATAAGGATTTGGGCTAAAATTTCAAAATCTTTGAAAAAACTGGCTTCATTTTCTTTAAAGAGGTCATATGATGCGATTTCAATGTTTCCTTTCTCTTTGGAGTGTTACAAGCTCTTGGTGTCAAAATCTTTGAAAAAACTGGCTTAATTTTCTTTAAAGGGGTCACATGATGCGATTTCAATGTTTCCTTTCTCTTTGGAGTGTTACAAGCTCTTGGTGCATAAAGAAGATCTGTAAAGTTGCAAAGACTAAAGTCTCGTCATGCCTGGAGCTGATCCGTGCTGGTCGCTGAGGAAATAAATCAAATTTCACCGTGGACGAAGCGGAGTTCAGCCCGCCTCAGCTCAATCTATCCTGGCCTCAGCGCACGCTAACCCGGGGCTTCCCCTCACGGTAGGCCACTGTGTTTTTCGTTGCCACTGATGATTCAAACGTGAGTTTTGGGCAGTGTAGAGTAGTGCTTGTTGTTTGTCATTTCTCCGATCCCAAATGCAGACAGGGTTTTATGTTTATGCGGCGCGATGCAACGCAATGCGTAAAAAGACAGTATAAGTCATTATAATCAGTAATTATGTCTCCACTGGATGCAACAAATGCCTGGTTTATAATGGGTTTTAATGTTTTTGTCTCGTCGCTCCGGCCGGACAGGGCATCATCACAGTATGGTGAGGGGTGTAACATTTCCGTCACACGCTTGAGGTATTCGGCCAATCACAACACACTGGATAGCTGGCCAATCACAGCACACCTCGCTTTTCAGACCGATGAGCTTTGTAAAAATCGACGCGTTTCAGAAAGGCGGGGCATAGAGGAGAAACGATAATGTACAGTATGTGGAAAATAATGTGTTTTTAACCTTAAACCACAAACACATTGCATTACACCAAATACACAACATAATGTTCTTTTTAGCAACATAATATGACCCCTTTAAACAAAATATTTGTCTATTTTTGTGTTTCATGATGAATTTTGCACATTTTGACAGTTGAACTAAATCAACACTGAACTGAACTGATCTGAATAATGAAACCACTGTCTTTACAGCTGAAATTGAATTTGTTTCATAATTAATAAAATTTTGGTTATTGAACCAAATCTGAATCAACATAGATCTGAATTGATGTGAATAATGACACTGTTGTCTTCTGTAGAGCTGAAATTCTCATATTTAATGAAGTTTCCATCATTGATTCTTTCCTTTTCCACAGAAACACAGTTGACTTGACTATTTCTTGTTGATGCAGTGGTGAATTATGTTCACAGCACATCCACTGACACACAGCAGGGAGGGAGGGGGAGGAGCCTGCATGAATATTCATGAGCGTGTTAATATGTCAAGCAGAAAGGAAATATCTGGCCGTGTGAGGAAGAGCATTTGCCACAAAAGTCTGAAAAATTCAAAAGCAGTGAACAGAAAAGCCATGCATCATAAAGCAAACAATATAATCACACAGCTCAAGCAGAACCCATATTCAATCATCAAATGAAGAATAAAGCCTTTGAGAAGAAGCTGATGTGATGTGTGAGCCTCGGTACAGTACCGCGGTAACCACGGTAACCGCTGTAACCGAGGCTCAGACGTCAGCAGTGATGCGTTTCTGCCAGCATTGTGTGTTGAACACGTGAACTGCTTCCAGCGACCGTCAGACGCACCGTTCCCTTCATTCATCCATCGCTTCCAGTGCTAAAGCACACATACAGAGAGATTCACGACTCGTGTCTGTCAGGAGATTAACCGCTGAGTTACTGATAATCAATGTCAATTAAACGCTGCTGTTTGCTAATGAGCTCAGCGCTGCTGTCGTCTGTAACACTCGATCACGCGCATCGATCGATAAACGCTCATACTGTAAGCCGGATGATGTTAAATACAGGATAATCAGAGTTAACAAAAAATACAATTAAAATTGTAAAAATTAAAAATGTGTCACTTGAAATTAAATAAATATTTACTGAAATAAAATATAAAAAAATTTAACTTATTTTAATTCAACTAGTTCGCAAAGAAACGAGTTTAACTTGATGGACTAAAATAACTAAATATTTAATAATATATAATTATTAATATATAATATATAATACAAACTATATAGACATATATGTCTACATATTTAAACCATGCAGACATTAAAATAAAAAAAATTATAATAAAAACTAATTCAAACCTTTATTCAAAACTACGATAATATCTCGTGGATACTAAAATAACACTGCTTAAATTCTGTTTATAAAGCGGAGAGTTCCGGTGCTTGACTCTGATTGGCTGAGCCGCGTTCGAAGCTGTTGTAAATGACGCTACAAAGTAACACACCTTTGTTTACGTTTGTGTGTTGCTCGGCAACCACTTTGTAGCAACCACAACTGTTTCTGAGGAGCTACATTGTTTGGTGGAAGAATACTGTGTTTATTAATATCATTACACTTTATTTGCTCCGTTTTATTTTGTGAAGCCTTGCTACGTATATAACCGTTTTATAAAAGCAGTAACCCCCGTGAAGCCGTGGTTTACAGTGAATTTATAACAGCTAAGGGGGTTTTAGGCACTGTTATAAATTCACTGTAAACCACGGCTTCTTGGGGCTTATTGCTTTAGTTTGAGTGAGCGTGCAGATTTTACACGCTCTTTACGCACGGCGACTACAGTAACGTTCAGTTACACGTGAAACACAGATGCGACGCGCTCAAATGAGACCGATGCTGTAATTTAGAAACATTGAGTAAAATAGAGCATATTTGCAATTTCTCAAACAGTAACTCGACACCAAGGTCACGGGTTTGATTTGAATGCATGAGTAAGCTGCTTTGAATAAATGCATCAGTGTAAATGTAAAAATGTCATTAGACTGAGTTTGCATTGATACTGAGCAGCACTGAACTGAATCTCTGGACTATCTGTGACGGTTTGGTGTGTCTCGCGCCGTACGGAGCTCAGGCTCGTGTGCTGACGCTGCAGACGCTGGAAGCAGCTGGTTTCCTCCACAGGACGATCGTTCCCAGGCTTACCGGCGCTCTCCTGCTGCGTGTCTGAAGGAGCGGATACATACGGGTCGCTCTGATCACCCGGTGGCTCTGCCTCCTTCGGCTTGACCATGCGGCCCCGGAGCAGCGGGCCCCCGGGGGCCGGAGGAGGGACGGTGGTGAGGAGGCCTGCTGGAGCACAGCACACATCAACATCTCTCTGAGACAACACACACACCTCTCACATCATTCACACTCTAATCAATATCTCACGTCCACTGATTGATTTGCTGATTATCCGTGTAATTAACAGAGTAAGCTGCACATAATCACAGAATAAACTCCATTACGTTAAACTCACATACGATTAGCTGATCTGAAACTGAACTATGTGAAATTAAACCAATTGTTGCAATGATTACTAATACTAAACCAACCCAAATCAATCCGATGAACAAATACTGATACCTAGAGTTAAACACCGCAGTAACACTAACAAACAGCTAGTTTACTCTAGTACATGAGTGATGATTTTGGCTCACATTTAACAAAAATCCACCAATTCACTATCTCAACAAATTAGAATACTTCATAAGACCAATAAAAAAAACATTTTTAGTGAATTGTTGGCCTTCTGGAAAGTATGTTCATGTACTGTACATGTACTCAATACTTGGTAGGGGCTCCTTTTGCTTTAATTACTGCATCAGTGCGGCGTGGCATGGAGGTGATCAGTTTGTGGCACTGCTGAGGTGGTGTGGAAGCCCAGGTTTCTTTGACAGTGGCCTTCAGCTCATCTGCATTGTTGGGTCTGGTGTCTCTCATCTTCCTCTTGACAATACCCCATAGATTCTCTGGGGTTCAGGTCTGGTGAGTTTGCTGGCCAGTCAAGCACACCAACAAATATTAACACCAAATCTCAGGGTAAATCTTTTAGGTCAGAGGGGTTTGGTAGAATCTCTGGACTAGTTTAACTGGTGTTAATGCACAGATGAACTCTCTTTCTGTGTCTCTTTCGTTGTTTATCGTCCGTCAGCCAGTCGAGCATCTCCCAGCCGCAGTCATTAACATGATTTATTTAAGAAAGCGCCACGGGCCGCAAGATTAGTGTGACAGCTCTATTTTATAATTCATTTTCCACAGCCAGAGGAAGAGCCGGCGAGGACGATGACACACATACGAGTCTGGACGGAGGAATATGTGCTTATGAAGCTAAACAGACACGGTTTATGAAGGAAACAGATAGAAGACAACATCAAACACAGAATAAATGAATTGGCGACAGACACACAGACGCTAATGAAGCTCAGGAGAAAATATCACCAATAAACACCAGCGCATGTGATATGTAGGTCACAATCGCTGCTTCAGCCAATCAGATCGACTCTGGCTTCTTCAGCCAATCAGATCGACTCTGGCTTCTTCAGCCAATCAGATCGACTCTGTCTTCTTCAGCCAATCAGATCGACTCTGTCTTCTTCAGCCAATCAGATCGACTCTGGCTTCTTCAGCCAATCAGATTCACCATGGCTGCTTCAGCCAATCAGATCGACTCTGTCAATCATGTGTGTGTGTTTTTTTAACCTGATTGTATTTCATGAATAATTTCTGCTGGTCTTGGGAGAAGCCCTGAGTGTTTATTCGCTGTAAACAGTCATTTGCATTCGACTGTCTCTAACCCACAATCCTTTGCTCTATGAACGCAGAGATCCATCCAATTAGGGAATGAAAGGTCAGAGCGTCTCTAACTACATCTACACACGGGAAACACTGGAGACACTGACCGCGCGCAGCATTCTGGGTAATATCGCTCACACCCTGCTGCCTGCGCTGATGCTCTACAAGAAAACGCAGTCAGAGAAATTAAACATTCGCCAACAGAGAGTCCGATAACGATGAGAGAGAGAGAGAAGAAGAGCTGTACTCACCATTGAGAGCCACGAACGAATCTGGAGACAAATGACAAACGTGTTAATTGGCTGAAATGTGATTCTCTCACACGCACACAGATAATTTATTACTGAATTAATTTAAAACTGCGACAGCAGAACATTTAACAACATCATAGCAGAGTTCAGAAATAACTTGAGTGCGTCTAAGACGACTGAAGACTCGTTCACACCAATGATGATCACTATAAAGATTTAGCCATCAAAAAATCACAATCAAGTCCACACTACAGCTGTAACGATAACGACACCGAGGAAGATGCTCCTGAACGATATCACAGGAATCACTGATGAACGATAAAAACACAGACAGCCAATCAGAATCCACCGATATTAAAGATCTTGAGCATTTAAAGCACCAGACGACTAAACGACAGCACGCTAATAATAAACACAATGATTTCTGTCGTTTGAAGCAGCAGATACACGTCAGCAATTTGAAAATGAGCGAAATCTGTGCGCCGAAGTTTTTCGCCCTCATGCAAAATTCTAAACTGCGCAAATTCCTACTGAAGTGGAAAATTAAGCATTTAAAGCGTCAGATGACAAAACTATTTATCGTCCGCTGGTGTCGCTGTGGTTCCTGGTGTGAACGAGTCTTTTGACAAGTGTGTATGTGTGTGTGTGTGTGTGAGTGTGTGTGTGTGTGTGTGTGAGAGAGTGAGTGAGTGTGTGTGTGAGTGTGTGTGAGTGAGTGTGTGTGTGTGTGAGTGTGTGTGAGTGTGTGTGTGCGAGAGTGAGTGTGTGTGAGTGAGTGTGTGTGTGTGTGAGTGTGTGTGAGTGAGTGTGTGTGTGTGTGAGTGTGTGTGAGTGAGTGTGTGTGTGTGTGAGTGTGTGTGAGTGTGTGTGTGTGTCTGTGTGTGTGTGTGTGAGAGAGAGTCTGTGTGTGTGTGAGTCTGTGTGTGTGTGTGCGAGAGTGTGTGTGTGTGTGTGAGAGAGAGAGAGTGTGTGTGTGTGTG